TCCTTTGTACATTTGTGAACGACCATTCGGCCGTGGGCGATCTCCACACCGACGGCGTTCACCAGCTTATAGCCGCTGTGTTGTTGTTATTTTGTTTCATTGTAAATAAACAGTTTATCACCGTTACCAACGTGACTGGTGTCTGTTTGCGCTCAACGAGCAGTATGCCACGCGAGTACGAACCCGCTTCGCGGTAGAGCGTCTCGCCGCGAACGTGGTACTCCCAAAGGCAGTGGCCCCAAGGAGAACCACACTGTCAACCTTCAGCAGTAGAGGCAGAACGTCATCTTTAAATCCTTACAGTGGTGAGGCGCTACAACTAAACAACTTTTTATGGTGTTGAACAAACGCCTCTACGATATGAGTTTTATCACTGGACAAGACTATTTCAACTACATCATTAGCTCGCGCGTATTTCTTTTCCGCCGCCACCATTTTTTTTTTTTTTTGTTGTCTGCGCTTTCACCAAGAAACGCTCTGAACAAGCCAGTATTGCCGCCCACTTGTCCCGAAGGTTCGACACGCCGTATGTGTCCCGTGCGTCGACACCGGAGGTACACCGGTGCGCGTCCGGGAACAATAACCAGCAGCGTGCCCCCGTAAAGACGGAGCTGATGCGCCAGGGACTCCGGTGTTAAAGGGATACTTCAACGAAATTTGAAATATTTCCGTCGTGTTCAAAAATAGGTTGAATATGATCCACAATATCCGTAAATGGCAATCGCACGTTTGTATTTTGAGCCTGGTGGCTGTATTTTTCGTTATAAACGGCCCACTTTGGTAAGCGCTCGGAGAAGGCCCAGCGGAGACCACGTGACATCCAACGCAATCGTGACGTAGGTCGTCTCAAGACGAGCAAAGCTACGGCGAGGCTGACGTCGAGAGGATGGCCTAGTCGTTCCAGCCACCGAAGCGGCTGCTTTTGTACGAATTTTGAGTGACGGGTTAATCATCTATAATCTTGTAGGGGGACAATAGCGACTTCTGCGACACACTAAAGGCATTCTCGGGAAGAGGGGAGTTACTCCTGCCTCTCTTCTCTCGTCGAGGCCGGAGACGAGACAACCTCCGTCACTAGCTGTCAAGGTTCCTAGACTGGCATTACAAGCGAGGCGTTAGCGACATCCACCAGGTGCTCTTTGCTAATCGTTTAATTCGTTTTAAAATTCCTTTTCGTGACTTTTTTAACAAGATATTGGTATGTTCGATGTGATGCTGCTTTTTTGAACACATATAGACCAAAAAATGAGCGCCGAAATTTCGTTGTAGTATCCCTTTAAGTCATCATGGAGCACCATGCGCACCATGACGGTAGTGGAATCCACGTCTGCCAGGCCCTTGATTCTCTACTTCTCGCGGGTGACACCCTTGACCTCCCCGTATGGCTCGAAGTCTCGTCGAAGGGCGTCTGCAGAAACGTCGTAAGGTAAAAGTCCACCCAGTGGACTTTTACCTTCAGCTCTCGTTTTTCTGGATCAATGACAAGGCATGGTCGCCCCCTCACCAGCATGGTTCCCTCTCGCAGAAGCTTCTCTTTTGGCGGAGATGATGTGCAGCTTCAGCAGCCAGACGTGCCACATTTGAAACTTGCCAAGTCCTGCTACGTCTTCCCGAACTCCCACCTGGTTCGGGGGCCCTACGAAGTCTTCAGCATGGTACGGCCGCCATCGGGTATCAGCATGAAGCACAAGGCTGCATTTCATGGCTTCTCCTGTCGGCAGGGTAGGCAGTATCACTGCGTGGTCATTTGGAACATCGCCGCTTACAGCATCACCGCGGCTCGGAGCCGTCGTCATCGAGCTCACAGTGGAGCGTTCCATTCCACGTGCGCACGCTACCGCGTTCGAAATCGGAATCTGCAAGCTATCTGCTGTTCATCACTGATGCTTTCTTCTCTCCTCGCCTTTTCCCAGTGCGCGCTCTGCTAAAGTGGAAAGAGTAGAGCCCTTTGTGGAAGGAGTTTATTATGCAGTAACCTTTTTTCAAACCGCGTTTGCTTTTTGCGTGTTTTTTTAATTAGGCATTTGCCATATGGAAAGGGGCTTATGCGGTAGACTTTTAGTTTATTGAAAAAATCCAACCGTTAATTTTCGACAACAAATGTAACATGATGCAAAAACCTGGTAGAGTTTAGCGATATGTTCGATACATCGTAAAGGTATTTCGCTACTAAGATACAAATACATTCTCCAAATGTGCTTCGATACATAAATACAGATACTTATTTCTAAGATGCTATTTTGCGATACAGATGTATGGCGATACTGACCTGCCCGAGACCAGCGCGGGACGGGACACGAGTGCTGAGTCAGCGTTAGCTCGTGTTCAGTCAGTCGGGAGACGAGTTCCAGCCCAATTCTGACGCAACTCTCGTGTCCACTTCATTTTACCTTAGTGCCTGCGTTACGATAACGCAGAGCGAGCCTTAGGCAAAAGGCGTGGGTGCATGACAAGGCCTTATTTCCTTGGTGTACAACGGACACAAGTTCGTGTGACGCTCTCCCGTTACTAAAAGTGCGTCACGGAAGTGCGTAACTATGGTGCTTGGAACGCGTTTACAAATTTCTGTGTACCGCGTCCTGAAAAGTAGCCCCTTGAGTTCCGCCTGATGACCTTTTAAGGCCGGTTCTCACATGCAGCGAAGCGCTCATGTAGCGCTCCTCACGTGCCGTCAGCTACTTATCGTGTGCCATGAGCAACAGTTTTGACGGTGCGATGCAAAGCTGGTGAACGCTCCCGTCAGCACGCGCTTAGCGCGAGGTCAGCGCTATGCTTGTAGCGCTCCGCTGCATGTGTGAACAGGCCTTAATGTCGTTGCCGGCCGCGATTTTCGTGTTTTCACAGCAGCGGTAGTGAGGCAGAACTAAGCTTGCTCTGCCGCAGGTAGGCTTGACAATTTACAGCAGCCACGAGTTTAGACTCTGAGACGACAGAGACACTCACGTTCGCTCGTACTTCTTGACGGGATTTCTAGCCCCAACCGCCAGGATCGCGACGTCCGACAGCATGACACGGATGGATGAATGTTCGCGGCTATACCCTTCGTAACAGGCGGCTGCTTGCGCCACCTAGCCTAGCAACAAATTACATCACGCCGGCTCTTGGGATGTCATTTGTTGCCACTTTAGGATCACTTTCGACGTGTGGACGGGATAGGATGTAAGCACACCAGGCGAAGCCGCTTTGCAGGCATTGTAGCCTAACTGTCGCTTCCCATCGAAGATCGTTATTATTGCTTCGTAAGCGAAGGAAAAAAAAAATGCAATTGACCCGTTCAATCTGCGAGGCGACTCCACGTCATTTCTATATTAAGATTCCAGACTCCGAGTCCGGGCGTGAAAGGTTAATTCAAAAAGACACTTATTTCTTCTTTAATTTGTCTACTCAATGCTGTTATTCAACCCAGAGCAAGCGACAGAAGCAATCTGTTTGCCCCCCCTGTGTTGTAACTTCGTAGTTTGACGGCTCCATTGATGCTAGTTTATTTATATTAACAAAAAGCACTATAAACTGAAAAAAAAGAACTTAGGATTTCGTGCTCGTTTGGTCAACAGTATCTGGCGTCATAGGCCTGCCCTTCGTTTGAATCCCCGATTTAACCTTCATATTTTCGCGTACAGTGCTCCTCCAACTTAACACCACCACTCGGTTACCTAACTATTGATATATTGCCGGCCACTCAGCCTAAATTAATCACTTAAAAGGGCCCTGCAACAACTTTATGATTGGTTTTTAATTTGCACCGAACCTGAGCGCACTGAATGTAGTAACTTAAACTTTTCTTTTCTCAAATTTCGCTTTATTTTAAAAGTTATAGGCAAATTAGAATTACAAAAGCAAGCAAAAAATAACCTCCTTCATGACGTCGTAGATCCTGGCTTAAGTGGCCGTGAATTAGAGGAGGGGTAGTGAGCTCAGCGAGAGCTCGCGGCTGCCGCACTCCGTGTCGACGGTTCGAGAGGGCGCCACTAGAGCACGTGTTGGATAGGCTGTATGAAGCGGGCGGCCAGGATGGCTCGCATTGCATTTGCTGCGCGATTAAAGACTAATTCGGCATAACACTTCATTGGCCACTAATGACAGCAAACACGGGGAAAAGATCAGTTCAGAACGGGAGCCACTTCGCGCTGCCATACCGCCAAACGGCCAAATCGCCAGCCAAGCCCGTGCTGAAAGCTTTCGGAACGCTCGGAACCGGTCGAATCCTCGATCTGGTATACGACCGCAGCTCCGCCGCGTACATCCGGGACTTTTCTACGCTCGTCGTTCGTAAGAGACTCATCCCACTAGCACTTTCTAGTATGCGCCGTTTTTTCCGGCGCTTTGTGGCGGGTTTGTCGACGGGTCTTTTCTTGTTTCCGTACTTTATAAACTGCATTTGTTTGTTTTTTAATCTAAAATACTGAACAAAAACTACTTTCATACATAACTGAAACGGTTCGCGACACTTATATTTTGTATCTCGACTAAAAAAAAAAGCTTTTGGCGGCTTTGACCAGTAGTAAGCCGAGGACCAAAGACGCCACATATTGCGCGCTTTCGGCAACGCGGGTCGCCCTCGTCGGTGGGGGAGGTTTCCGCGTCGTCTGGTTAAAATATGGTATTTAGTTACTCTCTCCGTGCCCGCTGGCTTGCCCGAACCCCAAGAGACGTGGAAACCGCAAAAAAGGTAGACGCTTAAATATGATTGCAGGGCCCCTTTAAGAGCTGAACCCTCTTCACCAGGAAGGGTTGTGATCGGCGAGTCAAACCTTCACCACGTGACCGATGGACCCAGGAATGCCCAAAAGTGCCAAAAACGGACTACCTTATGGCGGCGTTAACTTTGGGCAGTGTTGTACTTAATGGGGTGCGATTGTTGGATAGCGTACTTCCATTTTCCACCGGAAATGTTTCCGTCACTTCAGAATTGAGAAGATATTTCTCAGCTAGTTGAGTGAAGACCTGCCCCTGATGTGCATGAATTTCGGGGTGTCGCTTGACTTTTCCGGCCCCACCAGGTTCTTCGAGCACGTGTGCGTGTACTGCGGCAACTTCGCCGACCTCATTCCGGTTTCCTTCGTGCTGGGCTTCTACGTTTCGGTGGTGGTGAAGCGCTGGTGGGACTCTTTCTCCTCTATCCCCTGGCCGGACTCCCTGGCCTTCTTCGTCAGCACGTTCCTGCAGGGACAGGTAGTACACAACCAGGCCTGCCCACTTGTCACCTCCTGCTGCTGCTGCACTTTGGCCGTCTGCTTTGCCGCCATTCTTGACATCTGCTTGGTCGGCTGCTCTCCTGTCTGCTTTTGTCGCTTCATGTGGGACTACAGACGCTTTTCGACAGCTCTGCATGGGCACTGCTACAACCGCCTTCCTTCTTTCTTTCCTCTTATTCCGGTATCTTCATCACTACGGTAAAAGCACAAGTTATTAGCTTTCTAGACGCCTTTCTGTCTTTGTTCCTAAGGCATATTTCCTGCGGGCTCCTCAACGACCGCTTCAATGCTCGATATGTCGCTAAGATAAGAGAAGGTCAACAATGGCGGCCATAATTTATTGCGTATACTCCCATCTCACAAACATCTGCAGTGACGACCAAGACACGGGCACCAGCCCGTGACTTCAGAAAGTGCCTCTTACGCACGAGTCCTTGTACATACAAAAGCATACTGCTAAGTTAGGTTCGCGTGCCTTTGTTCTTACCGCAGATATTTGTGAAAAATATAGACCTTTCCAATGTTTACAAAATCACAGTCCAGCGTGCGATCTTCACAGCTCAGCACGTGCGTGTTCACCGCTTCGGAACGCGAGCAAAGCACGCGCCGTACGTACGAACACTCAAAATGGCACCGGCCACACACTCTCGTTTGGAAAGGTCTATAGACAATTGCAAGCACGGTGCCCGACTGATGCCCATTGCGTGCAAGCACGTGCAGCGTGGGCGTCAACGTAGCGTTGGTAAGCTTGCGATTGCACGTACTTTCCCGCACGCGCAGAGGCACGGCGGCCGTCAGATGCCCAGTTTTTAATCGTATGTAGACGATTGAAAGCAGGGAGACTGGCCTTCGCCATGTCTCTGCTCGTGCGGGCCCGTGCAATTGCAAGCTTGCCAAAGCTATATTCACACGCAAGCTGCACGTGCTGGCACGCATGGGGCACCAGTCGGGGCGCCATGCTTGCAGCTGTCTGTACGCGGCGAGAAGTTTGAGTTTCGCCGACTGGTGCGATTTTTCACAACCCAGAGTGAGGGTGCTTCAACTTCCTCGGTGCAAGCACGTGCAATGCCACGCTTCTATGCACTATGGAAATTGAAACATAACCGTGTGGGTAGCACATGCATTGCCCATAGTGAGGCAAAGTGGGAGAGTTTTGCCATACATTGATTTGAATAGGCGAGCATCTCGGGGCCAACCACAGGCCGCAAAACAACCCCTAACAATGATTATGAGGTCTAAAAACGCGACACGACTAATTTATGCCGTTTTAGCGTCGCTAGAGTGATAACGTTTAGCTCTCGGTGACTGAAAACTTTGGGCATGTAAGGTTTTCGTCACGCCAACATTCATGTGTAGAATAAACGAACGTGCCCTCCAAACAAGGGCCGATTGACCCCGTAAGTGATGACGTCACAACATGGCGTCTGGGTCCAAACAAACCGTTGCTAGGGACGTTGCTATGGACTAATGCATGGAGACTCCACATGCGGCTAGATTTTTGCTTACAAGTAAGTAAATAATTTTTTGTAAGCAACCTAACTTCCTGATATCTAATTATGAAGGTGTTGTCGTTTCAGTGTCGTATTGCAACGATAAAAGCCATTTCTGAAGTATCACACTCCGCTTTGCTTTGGTAGCAGACGACGTGATAGATATGCTGTCCTCTGTTGCAGCGGGCGTCTTCATTGAATTGCGTTGGGAAACAAGCGACAAAAACAAGTGCATTGCCGTGGCCGTAAAAGCCTCCGCAATGTGCGTTTGTTTTCTGTGAAGAACCCAGCTTAGTTCAGAGGGGCGAAAATTCCGTAAAATCAAACCACGTCATGCAGATCAGCTACGACGACGACCTGAAGTGCATTAACGGCGTAGCCCAGGGGATATGATCATACAGTAAAAGAACGAAATACAGAAGGAGAGCAGTCAGAACATCAGATGTTTCAAACCAGAACCCCATATATCAGGTCCTTACCAATATCCCGCCCGTCTCTTTCTCTTTGTGAAGAATATTAGTGTCACCCCTTCATGTTCACGCTATTTCTGATTGTGTTGTCCTTTCTTGGGGTGGGCAGCGACTGGAAGGTAGTCAATTGCTTAGCGGTGAAACTGCCGACCTCTCATTTTTACAAACCTGGGTGTCTAAGGATTCTCACGATGGGCACCAAAGCAGCATTTGGAGAGTTCAGTCTACGTCCGGGCGAAGCCATATGCGTCCGGGTTGAAGGCGCGCTACCGGGCCTGTGGTAATAGTGCAATCTGTTTGGTTTGCTCCAATGCGCTGTAGGGAGGCCGCTTGAACTCTGCAAGCATTGCTTTACTGCGCATTGTGAAAGCACCGAAGTTTGTAGAAGTTTAAAGTCTTTCTCCTTCCTCTTTCTCCTCTCGACTAGACAGAAGAGAAACATTTTTTTTTTAGAAATCGATTAAAAGTTTGAAAATTGGCAAGCCGAACCTCAAAGTTCGGCGTCGAACCTGAGGTTCGACAAAAGTTCGCCGTACTCTTAGAAATAGCCCAAAATAGCCACATAGCCAACCACGAAATTTTGACGCCAACTATAAAAAAAACTCCGTTTCAAACATCGCGTGCAACGCTGGGAAAGCTACTGAAGTAGTGCGCATGAAAAAACACACAAAATTGTGTTACTCCGCGAGATTTCGTGGACGAGCGGTACAAGGCGCTGCTCCGGCGATGCCGGCGATGCCGACATCTCGGTGGCGGTGGTTCGAATCCACTTAGGGCGCAAAGGTTTTTTTTTTTTTTTCCTCGACCGATTTTTTGTGCAAAATTGTGCGTATTGCGGAAGTGCATATTTCAATTCCTCTTTTCTTGTTGATTTTTATTTATAAGAAGGTAGACTAGGGGCTGGTGTTCCGCTCGAACTTGCGCCGGCCTCGTCAAAACGGAAGAACGGTCGAGATCCAAAGCGTCTCTATTTAAAGCCGTTTATTTACATGGTAGCGTGAAAATCAGACAGTACCTTGAGAGTGTGGTGGACGGTCCTTTATATAACGAATATTGTGATTAGGGGACCGCACTGCCATTGTTCAGACGGCTTGGCATTCCCTCAAGTGATGTGACTTCATGGAAGTTTCCTTCAGAGTCAGAATACTCGCCGGTGTATGAAAGAAGTCATCCAGACGGCAGTATCTCGGTGCTCTGGTGCCGGCGCCCACATGAACCGGGAGTGATTCACAATCGACGCGTACACAACACACGGCACTCGAGATCAGGATCGAGTGTTGTTTCCTTTTCGAGGAAAGCAGGGGCCTCGGAATACAGGCACGGGCATGTGCGTCGTTTACTTAGCCGACCAAGGTTAAGGTGCCTCAGGCAGACGGAGCCGACCATGGTTACGGTCCCGCAGGCAGAAGAACCCAGACACTTCGGAATGCAATCACGGGCACCGCCTGCTGTAAGGTCCCGCAAGCAGACGGAGCCGTAGGCACGATTCATCACCGACACAGTTCCTTCTTGAGGCTTGTTTCACTTTGAAGCCATAAGGCCGATTTCAACACCAGAAATAACAGGTGGCAGTTCACAACACTGTCCGCGTGCTCGGAACTTTCACGTTGCGAGGTCTTCGCTTCGGGGACGCCACCTTGCCAGACACTCCGGTGTCGTTACTGACCGTCTCCAGGACCTCAAGGACCGACGTCTCCGGGAAACACGTTCTTGAACTCGCGTACACGTTGGCGATCACCTGCTCGCACTTTTGCGAGATCTTCACACGACGAATCTTCGAAAATATCCGAGCAGGAAAAGAAAGCTTCCCGCGTAAGACGCCATCTTCACGAAACCGGCGAGGCAGGGGCAGCCGCACAACCCGAAAACCCGAAGCGAGTGCGAGTGCCGCACGAACGAAAACGGAAAATAATTTGGAGTAGTTTACATTATATTTTCCTTTTTATTGAAAAAGAATTGGTGTTCCCTCGAAATCATAACGCCACTATTAGTTACTAGCTCCAAAGATGTACACTTTTCGACTTTTTTTTTTTTTTTTCAGGGGCCGCACTATTTTGTGGAGCGAACGTAGTCGCGGTCGGCTGTGCGAACCGGCGCGCTAGCTTTGACTACATTGCACGCTATGTTTGAAACGGAGTATAGAAAAAAATGTAGCCCAATTTGGCTATATATAGCCCAATCTGGCAACACTGGCCGTACGAGTAGCGCGCCAGCCTTATCACAAAGCAAAAACAATAAAAAACAAAATCAAGTTACTGAAACAAAACAAAACAAAACAAAAAAAAACAATAATCATGCTAAAACAATAAAAAAAAGCTAGAAAAAAGTCAGTCACATGGCCAGTGTGCGTGACGTCACAACTATGTCAAGTGATTTAGTCCGCGTGACGTCATTGATAACGTCATGTCACGTGATCCCGAGCTGTTGAGGTGCAAATAGCACGGCCCGCAAATCCCGGGCGTCGAGTCGACATCCTGGGTCCCGAGTGAAAGATCGCGAAAGAGAGCGACAGAACACGAGAGAAAGAAACCAATGTTGCCAGCTGAAGGGCGACAGTCACAATGGTAATCGCGAAGACTGAAAACTCTCAGCAATTGACCCCGTAAGTGATGACGTCACAACTTGGCGTCTGGGTCCAAACAAACCGTTGCTTGGGACGTTGCTATGGGCTAATGCATGGACACGAGGCTAGATTTTCGCTTATAAATAAATAATTTTTTGTAAGCAACCTAACTTCTTGATATCTAATTATGAAGATGTTCTTGTCATCTCAGCGTCGTATTGCAACGATGAAAGCCATTTCTGAAGTGTTCCACTCCACTTTGCTTTGGTAGCAGACGACACGGTAGATTTGCTGGCCTCTGTTGCAGCGGGCGTCTTCATTGAATTGCGTCGGTAAACGAGCGACAAAAACAAGTGCATCGCCCTGACCGCAGAGGCCTCCGCAATGTGCGTTTTTTTTTTCTTTTCTGTGAAGAAATTAGCTTAGTTCAAAGGGGTGAAAATACCGTAAAATA